CACCCACATGGCAGCTAACAACAGTCCAAAACTCCAGTTCCAGGGGAACCATGCCCTTTTCTCACCTCCAGAGGCACTGAACACACATGGTAGACTTACATACATGTGGCAAAACACTCATACACATAAAATACAAATAATCTTTTTTTTTTTTTTTGTCTTTTTGAAACAGGGTCTCCCTGTAGCCCCAGCTGTCCTGGAACTCACTATGTAAACCAGGCTGGCCTCGAACTCACAGAGATCCACCTGCCTCTGCCTCCCAAGTGCTGGGATTAAAGGCATGCGCCACCACGCCAGCTAATAATCTTTTAATTAAAGAAAACAGTTCAAGGTCTTCCTCAGCTACATACTGAATTCAAGGCCACCCTGGATTATATGAGTTTCTGTCTTGAAAAAAAATTACAGAGGGGGCTAGAGAGATGGCTCAGCAGTTAAGAGCACTGACTGCTCTTGCAGATGACCCGGGTTCGATTCTCAGCACCCACATGGCAACTATGAACTGTCCTTAACTCCAGTTCCAAGGGAATCCAAAGCCCTTTACTGACCTCCACAGCATTACATGACACGCATACACTCACATACATGCAGGCAATACACTCATATACATAAAATAATAAATAAATAAATAAATAAATAAAATATTAAAAATTATAGAAATTAATAAAAAGAAGTATTCTCTAATAAAAGAGAAAAAGAAGAAAGGGCCTTGCTTAGCTCAGCAATTTCTAGCTTTATATAAATGGCATCATTTTTTTTTCTGTGACCTCACTGTTTTGAGTTCATGTGCATGAAGGTGCCTGTGTGTGTGCATGCTCTGTGTGTGAGTGTCTGTGAACAATCTTAGGTGTCAGCTTCAGGAATGCTGTCTACCTCCTTTAAAACAGGGTCTCTTGCTGGCCTAGAGTGCCCCAATTAAGACTACACTGGTGCTTGATGAGCCTCAAGGATCCTGTTTCTGTTTCTGCCTTGTCAGCACTAAGATTACACGCACACGCCACCATGCTCAGAATTTCTGTGAGTGTGCTGAGAACCGAACTCTGGTCCTCACGCTTACAAGGCACCCTCTTGACTGAGTTATCCTCCCAGCCCCAAATTATCTTTTTCTAGTTGTTGTTGAGACAGGGTCTTATTATGTAGACCTGGCTGGCCTGGGACTCACAGAGATCTGCCTGCCTTTGCCTCCTGAGTGCTGAGATTAAAGATTTGCACCACCAAGTCCAAACAAATTACTTCTTAAGCAGCTCCACTGACCGTATAGTATCACAATGTCTGGAAACAAATTTATGCCATGTAAAGTATACCACAATCCCAGGTTGGCTTCCATGTGGCAGACCAGATGGCTAGATAATTAGAGAAGCTTTGCCTGACTGCTCGTCAAGAATGGCCAAGATCCCACTAAGGATGGCATCTGACATCTGCGTGACAGGCAGATGGTGGTTCTTCAGGATGAACTTTGGTATTCTCTAGCTCTGTGAAGCAGGGGAAGAGGAAAGGAAGGTTGCCTTGGCGTCACAAATGTCACCTTCACAGATACATCTGAGTCCCTTTATTTAGATCATGGTAAACAGTACCTATATACAAAAAAGACCTACCTTGCAGACAGGAAGAACTAAATACTTAGGAAATAGCAGACAGACAGCTATCCTTCTCTGTGCCCCAGGAAGCAGAGACAGCACAGGATTGCCCTTGCATCTTCAAGGTCTTTCTTTGATCAATGCCTGAGCACTGGGTCACTTCTCAGGATCAGGAGATGTATGCAATAGACAGTCTCCGTAAGCAAAGTATAATCACCACACTTCATCTCAGTTAATTCCTACAATGACCTGTAGGGCAACTACAGTCTCCATTTCAAACCTCAAACACTAGCTCTGAGAGGTTCAGTGACTTCTACATCATGCAGCAAGCCAATGACAGGCCAGGATTTGATCTCTTCTCTGATTTTAAAGCCTTACACTCACTTGTTTGGTACTCTGTTACGGCCCACAGTGAGTCTGTGTGTGTGGTGAACTTCACATGTGGAAAAGATTCTGCTTTGGGGGTCATATCTGCAAACATTCCTGCTGACAGGCAGGGGCATCAGTATTAATGTCAATGTCAGATGGTAAGAACTCAAAGGCTGGGTACTGCCAAGTATGCAGCAGCGAAGCTCATGAAGGGTCCCACATGGCTTCAACTTATGAAGGCAATCTGCCCATCAGCAAGGAACAGGAACTAGCACTGATGGCAGTGTAAATCACTGCCTGTTGAAAATATATCTTTTAATTTTCTTTTCTTTTATTTTTTTATTTTTATTTTTTTTTGGTGTTTTTGAGACAGGGTCTCCCTGTAATGGGGACTGGCCTGGAGCTCACTATGTAGACCAGGCTGGCTGTGAACTCACAGAGATCCACCTGCCTCTGCCTCCCAAGTGCTGGGACTACAGTCTTGTGCCACCACGCCTGGCTAATTTTCTTTTCAATATTTTGCTGTTGTTAGCACACAATATTTTGTTTGGTTTTTTGGTGAGTTGAGGTTTTTGTTTTTGTTTTTGGTGCTTTGAGTCAGGGTCTCCCTGTAGCCTTAGCTGCCCTGGAACTCTAGACCAGGCTAGCATTGAACTCACAGAGATCTGCCTGCCTCTGCCTCCCAAGTGCTAGGATTAAAGGTATGTACCACACTCCCGATGGTTAGTTGGTTTTTAGAAACAAGGTCTCATGTAGCCCAGGCTGGCCTCAAACTTGCTATGTGGCCAAGGATAGCCCTGAATTCCTGATCCTCCTGCATCTACCTCCCAAGTGCTGGAAGAACAGGTGCACACCTCCACACCCAGCTTCTTTTCTTTCTTTAAGACAGGCAACACTCCTCAACACAAATGCCAATGATGAGGATTATCAGGGCCTATGGATGGATTTCACTGTTGATCAACTAGAGAAATTTAAAGGACTAATAAACAGGTCAAGAATTTAGGTTCAGGAGCTAGAGAGACAACTCAGTGGTTAAGAGCACCAACTGCTCTTGCAGAGGATCCGGGTTCCATTCCCCAAATGCACATGGCGGCTAACAATTATCTGTAATTCCAGTTCCAGGAGATTTGAGACCCTTTTCTGGTCTTGGTGGGCATTGCCCAACATGGGTACACTTACACACATGCAGGCAACACACTCATACCCATAAAATAAAAAATAATAAATAAAACTAAAACTCGGTGAGTAAAGGCACCTATTGCGAAGCCTGACGACTTGACTTCAATCCCTGGGACCCACATGGTGGAGGGAGAGAACAGATTCACAAATGTTGTCTTCTGACCTCCACATGCATGAGAGTGGCATGCACACACACACAGACACGCAAAATAAGATGAAAGAAAGAAAGAAAGAGAGAGAGAGAGAGAGAGAGAGAGAGAGAGAGAGAGAGAGAGAGAGAAAGAAAGAAAGAAAGAAAGAAAGAAAGAAAGAAAGAAAGAAAGAAAGAAAGATTAAATTTAGGTTCTGACTTGCTAAAAGCCAGATTCTGACTTCCAGCCCCAAATCAAGTGGTATCAGTGTGTTTGACCCAAACTTTCCAAGTCCAGTTAAATATCCAATACAGCAGTTTGGACTTCGAATCAGAGTTCAGAAACTGTCATTCTCAGAAGGGTGAATTGCTGAGGTGTCCCTGTCCCTATCTGACCACCACTGTCACTATGAACAGATTCTAGTCCCTCCAATTCTAAATCATTCCTTTGGTGCTACAAGATTTGCCAATCATATTTTCGGTCTTAATCTTAGAAGACTTAACTGTTTATTGCATCTTCTTTTTTTTAATATTTTATTATTTTTATTTTACGTGTATGAGTGTATTGCCTGCATGTATGTAAGTGCACCCGTGTCATGCAATGTTGCGGAGGTCAGAAGAGGGCTTCGGATTCCCCTGGAACTGGAGTTAAGGACGGTTTGAACCACCATGTGGGTGCTGGGAATCGAACCTGGGTCCTCTGCAAGAGCAGTCAGTGCTCTTAACCACTGAGCCATCTCTCCGGCCCCTGTTTATTGCATCTTATAAGCCATCTAACAAGTCACAGAAAATGTGACTGGTCTTCGGAGTGTGAGGTGACACCTCTATACAGGCTAAGAGGAATGAGGACAGGGAAATGGCGCTCAGCTTTTAATGAAGCTAGAGGTCCTGGGACAAAGGGCCCAAACATCCACCCTCTCTAGCTGCCAACATTTGGTCACCTCAATCTCATACAGCTACAAACCAAACCCAGAGTGACAACTGCCCTCAGAGGATCTGCCAAGATGCTGTGGATACTGGCTGGAACAAAATGATAATTGCCAAAGCATTGTTCTCTCTTCCCTGGGATTTGTTGGGAAGATGTTTGTCAATAACTCGCCTACCATAAGTAAAAAATATTCACAAGATTCACATGATTCTCTTCCAATAAACACAGGGCCCAACCTTCTTCTACTAGCCATTTCTCTAACAGATTTAGAGCTATTCTCTTGTCAAGGAATTCAGTTGCCATGGAAATGAGTTTAGAGCATGAATACAGGTATAAGGAATTTCAGTGAGTAAAGTAACATGACTCATGATAAGCATAACAAGTATAAAATACCTCAGGCCAAATGGTTTCAGCCATCACCAATGGGAACCACCAGCCACCCCACAAAAAAGGAAATGCAGTCGGAAAACTTCGCATCCAAGGAGCTGCTTTCTACATGTTTCTATGTATATTCTAGAAGGAGAAATGAGGCTGCCACAGGCTCTGACATGTAAAAGAAGCAGTCAAGTTCTCTAACAGGGCCTTTTATCCAAAAAGCCAACCTAGCCAGCCCCAATCTTCCTTTGAAAAGGAACCGCTGACCCTCCTAAGCATCTGGAGTGCTATATTCCTGAAAGAATTGCTTAAAATACTGAATCAGTCATAAGATCTCTGGAAATTTCCCGTAGTTTCCAAACGTGTTGTTTCTTACCACTCCTAGCATGTTTTCAAACACTTCAAGCAACTTCCTAGGGTCTTCTCACCCATAAAGGACTCTTACCGGGATCTCCCACCAAAGCAGTTTGTGCTGGGGGGTGGGTGCCTCGTCTCTGGAGCTACAGCTGTCCCGCTGGATTCTCTTGAAGGTGGTTGCAATCCTGGAAAAGGGATCAATCATAAGAGAGTTCAGAAATGTTGAGAAACTCAGCCCTTATTTGAGAGTTGGCTACCAGGCAGAGAACTCCCTGTGGATACCAGAGTTACCCGCCATGATGGGATAGGGACACCTTGTCAGCTTAGCCACTGCCATATGGAGCAAGGACAAGAGTCCAACCTGGGGAACATGGACTTCCTTGTGCATCAAATGAGCTTCAGCCTTTCAAATGTGAGATAGAGAACAGACACCAGCCATGCCATGCGAGGGCCAGGAACAGGGACCTTTTCCACAGTGTAAGTGGAACCTTCACCTAAAGGCCCTCCAAAAGCAGCGAAGTGTGCACCTGTAATCCCATGCTGAGACAGGAGGATCATGGTGAGTTTGAGGTCAGCCTAGGCTACACAGTGAGGCCTTATCTAAAAACAAACAAAAAAATCCCACATAATTATGTGTGTATGAATGACATGAAATCAGAAATGGAACTCTCTGGGAACAAAGGAAACTAACCAGGGGCTGGAGATGGCTCAGTAGTTAGAGCACTGGCTGCTCTTGCAGAGGACCAGGGTTTGATCCCCAGCACCCACATGGTGGCTAACAACCATACATAACTCCAATTCCAGGGAATCCGACACTCTCTTCTGGCCTCTAAAGGCACTGCACACACATCATATACTTACATATATGGGCAAAATGCTCATACACATAAAATAAAAATAAATTTTTTTAAAATTTACTTAAAAAACAAAACTAGCCAGCGCAGTGGTGCACGCTTTCAATCCCAGCACTCAGGAGGCAGAGGCAGGTGGATCTCTATGAGTTCAAGGCCAGCCTGGTCCACATAGTGAGTTCCAGGACAGGTGGGGCTACAGGGAGATCCTGTCCCAAAAAGACCAAAAAAAAAAGACTGGGGGGAAAAGAAAAAAAAAACTAGTTGCAAGTGGTGGCATACACCTGAGGCAGGCGGATCGTTCTGAGACTGAGGCCAGCCTGGTCTACATAGTGAGTTCTAGACGAGCTGTCTCAAAAAAAAAAAAAGGAAACTAAACTAGAAGGGAAGAAGGAAGGAAAGGTGGAGGGGCACAAGGAGGGCATGCGCAAAGTATGCTACATATATGTATGAAAATGCCCTTATGTAGTCTAGCACCACATACAATGAATATATACAAATGAAAGCCAAAAAAAGACAAGGTCTCCCTGTAGCCCCAGCTGGCCTGGAACTGGCTCTGTAGACTAAGCTGGACTCGATCTCAGAGATCCAGAGAGCCACCTGCCTCTGCCTCCCGAGTTCTGGGATTAAAGGTGTGCGCCACCACTCCAGGTTTTAAAAGGCAAAAAAATTTTTATTAAAAAAAACCCAGAAAGATAGTTTAGCTTATTAAAGTACTTGTTGCCAAGTCTGACAACAAATTCAATCTTGGACCCCTCATGGACAGAAGAAGCTCCCACAGGCTGCCCTCTGATCTTCACACGTGAACCGTGACACGTGTGAATAAATAAATAAAAATGAAAAAAAAAAGCAGGAGGAAAAAATAAGGCCCTTGCACTTCTCAGGGTACAGTTCACCACCTGCCCACAGCCTTCAGGGTAGATGTTATGAGTGGGGCGGCCTCTCCAGCCTCACCTCCACTTCCTCCTTGCTGATCCCTGGGATCCAGTCTCCTGACCCTAGTTCTCATCACAGACCCAGCCACTCCTTTCTCCCGCTGTCTAAACTCACAGAGCATGTCTCAACTTTCCAAGAGGAACCCTCCTTGAACACTGCCCCAGCTAGATGAGACCCTCAGAATCTCAAACTACCCTGTGCTTTTCTGTCACAGGTCATGTCACAGTGATAGCAATTATTTCTGTATTTACCCATTTCATGTCTAACTTCCCACTCAGAAGTAGAAACCACGTGAATGCTGCCTGATGCCGTTTGGCTAGCACCTGGACTAAGGCCTTGTACATGCCAAGGACTCAGCTATGTTCAACTGCATGCTTTCCCCCATGCAAAAGCACACCAGCCGCAAAACAACAAACCCAAAGAACCCTAAGCAAAGTTCAGCCCAGTGCAGGGACTCCTGTCAGCAGCCAAGGTTGATCCAACGACTAAGATTCCACCTGCTCTTGAATGAGAGTTCAAATCTCACCCCCTTGAAGCTAGAAAAAGCCTGGTGGGGCCTGAAAATTTCCGTCTTACCTCACATTTAACAAAACATTTAATGAGAAAAATGAAGGAGAAACCCAACCCATTCCAGACCTCAGACTCCATGAAATAATTTCCTGCTAGTTCCAGAGGTGATTAACTGCAGACGAGATCAAAAGGAACAAATTGCCAACACTCCAAACACTAGGGTCAGAGGAGGGGGCATTCTCCAATACCCCGGTTCGGCCTGTCTTTTGCTAGTTTGCATCACTAGAAGGGCACACGGTATCCTCCCCAGGCAAAGCCATCTCCAGAAATACTCTCAACCTCCCCAGAGAGTTCAACTAAAGTCACATTTCCTAAATCTGTTTTCCACAGTCCATGTGGGATGAAAAGATGTTTTAGTCTGCCCTTAATCCAAACAATAACACACCAAGATGTGACATTTATCTTGGTCCTTGATCAGAACGTAGTCCTTGAAAAATCAGGTCATGATTTTGATCTGGGAGACTAAGAGGCAGAGTAGCTCTGGGCCAACGCTGGCTACGCGGTACTATAGCTGAGATTCCCTAACCCGGCACAGCCCTGGGGAGCAGGGCGGCACTCACCGTCTGTCACAGCACTGCCATTAGGCACGCTTCCCAGATCAACAGTCGGCCCGTCCAGGAAAATTGTCAGCTCTCCGCCTGAGACAACACTGCCTTTGTTCTCCGTCTGCAGGTTCAGGGTCAGTTGCGTGTTCTCCACTGTTGGGTACAAAATGCAACACAGACACACCAAGTCAAATGCACACTGAGTTAGGATTCTATACATTAGAGGTGCCCGTTTCACCTGTTCTGGCTTCCTTGCCCTGTCCAATGTGTCTCGTGGCACAGAAAGAAGAGAGGCCGAAATCTGCTGAGGGGGTGGGAAGCTGGTACTGCCTTTAGGTATTTTATACCCTCATCTTTAGCTATGGATTTTTTTTTTTTTTTTTTTTTTTTTTTTTAAAAAAAAAAAAAAAAAAAAAAAAAGAGGACGATAAATCTTTCACTGTGATATATCAAAATAA